TCTCCTTATAGGAGTTCTTTGTTTCTTATTAGAGGTTAACAGTTTTATATAACGTAATAAATAGCCTAATAAATGCACAAAAACTGTAGTTTTTGTCTGATATAACAGTAAATACAACTTTATTAGCTATCAAGCTATGAAATGTGTTTTGCGGCTCCAGACAAAAACATTTTTTGGAAAAAGGAGCAAAATGGCTCTTTTGGTCAAAAAGGTTGCAGACCCATGTGTTAGGACTATCCAATGACAGTGAAAAACTGTTGAGAACAGTAGAAAGTCTATAACCTATCAACAGAACACATACATTCATCCACTAATTATATGCAACAGACATGGGAATAACGCAAAAATGTTTTCCACAACTGATCACGAACACTGGATAACTGAAGTCAATACCAGTCTTTAAAGCACAATACTAACAGTTAATAACCTGTTGCAAAAAACATGTTGACAGTCAACCGACACTTTTTGTAAAATCTATAGATCAACACTTGAGATGTACCTTATATTCTACTGGCAGTTAGTTAAATGCATGTTACTTGTCTGTTGAAACAGTGTTGTTGATTGTCAACTGATGACTTATAGAGTGTTAACTATGGACTATCAAAATAAAGTGTTACCCATCCATCCATCCATCTTCTCCCGCTTATCCGTGGTCGGGTCGCGGAGGTAGCAGTTCCAGCAGAGAGCCCCAAACTTTCTTTTCCCTGGCCACATCAACCAGCTCTGACTGGGGGATCCCAAGGCGCTCCCAGGCCAGCGGAGAGATATAATCCCTCCATCTGGTTCTAGGTCTACCCCTTGGTCTCTTCCCAGCTGGACGTGCCTGGAACACCTCCCTAGGGAGGCGCCCAGGTGGCATCCTAACTAAAGTGTTACCCATTTGTTTAATATAATGTTTTTATCAAAGTTTTTGGCAGTGGACATTTTGTCCCGAATGACTAATTAGGGAAGTGCATTTGATTGATACCGGAGGGTTAAGTTTATAAATGTAATGTACGCTTTATAAATGTAATGTATTATTTATTATTATTATTAAGTCCGGTAAGATTTGTATTTACGGATATTATGTGTTTATATGAATTGTTTGAGCCTGAATGCTGAAGTTGCACCTGCTTAATATTCGGTCAATATTACTGAATATCTATATCTTTGCAGCCTAATATTATGTGATCTGAATTGTGCTGAGCCTAGCGTTATAATGTGATGCTTTTGCTATGGCTGTTCGAGGTATTATTACACCAGTTTTGAGTGTACACTGAGCCTACACACATTTCAAATGTGAATTAGAAGTGTTTTTAAATAAAATCTCCTAACTTTTAATATTATATAGTAATTTCATTGTCAAACTAATTGTTTTTTAAATGTTTGATTAGATGATAGCAAGGCAAGTTTATTTATAAAGCACCTTTCAACACAAGGTAAATCACATTAAGAGCATTACGAACTTGTGCAATGAGTGAATAAAACAAAACAAGCTAATGTAGAATAATACAGGTATACTGTATATACAATACATGAATACAAGTTATAAGCGCTGCAACCCCCCAATTAAATTAATGAAATTACTAGTGCTATGGATAATCAAGTTTTTAATGAACATATTGAACGAATTAAAAAAAGTGCTACAAAAACATGGACCCACTGCAGCAGCTACAAAAATCCAGACTTATTTGGAAGAGCAAAAATATTCCACTTCACATCGCCATCACAGGAGAGTCTGGCTCTGGTAAATCCACCTTTGTTAACGCCTTTAGAGGCTTAGCCAAGAAGGATAAGAGTAATGCAGCCCCTACTGGTTGTGTAGAAACCACCATGGAGGTCAAATCATACCCCCATCCAAAATATCCCAATATTACACTGTGGGGTCTTCCTGGTATTGGCACCCCCAAGTGGTTCGCTCAAAGATGGACCATAGCATGCGGGATGAGGAAGAAACTCAGAGTGAGTTCAACGAAGAAAAGACTCTTGCAAAGATCAAGAACGACTGCGTTCAAGGTAAGTATCGGGTCAAAGTGGCTATGAGAAATGTCTTTAACTTAAGCTTATCAATATGGGTCACGTAGAAAGTAGAAACTTGTTCATTTTAAAACAACAAAAATGACTTTATTATTATATAGTAAAGTAATAATTTTACACACAGGCAGACAAAGTTTTGAAGTAGAGATATCAATGATAACAGGTCATAGAATGAGTGATATGAATACTGGCTGAGCTCACTAAGCTTGGTGTGACCGATCATCCTCTCAGATCTGAAACAACTTACATGCTTGGATGTTTATTCGGCCATTGACTGGCTGATTTTGGAGTGAACAGATGGAAAAGAAATGATATCAGTAGCTTGTTCAATGTACTTTTGTCAGGGGACATTTTAATTTGCAGCGCCATTTTGAGCCCATTTTTTTTAAGTGAGAGGGGTGCAACGAAAGAGTGGTGCAAAAAAGCATGGTGTGAAGAAGAGAGAAAAAGGGCAAGTGAGGTTTGGGCTCCACTGACAGACTGTTAGGGGTTAAAAACTCTGTTAATGTGTATTAACTGGACCCAGACTGGGTCACCTGTAAAATGAAACGTGTATTTCTGACAGCGCCACATTTCTGTCAAATCATGCACTTGGCGTTGACCTGCCTAAAGAAGGGAGCACAAAGTGTGATGTGTTGACTTTATTCGAATATTGCTTGCAATATGATGATGCACACCTGTTACACGACAATTTGTACTGCCTGAGGGAAATGCACCCAGTTTCAGATGTTCTATTTTTGTCAGCAGTAAGTATTTTTATAGTTGGAAAGAAAAGATATCCTCCACCGAAAGATGTGCAGAAGTGGAAAAAGTATTTTGTACACCAGTCTGGATGTTTGAGAGAAGGTAATAAAAAGAATAATTACAAATAATTAAAACATTGAGGAATGTTGAATTTTCCTGTAAATTGTACCGCTATTTATTTGCCTTATTTAGTTTGCTATATTGTGTATGTCCACACAGCATTACGACGCATTGTTATATTAAAAATAGGGTTGCAATAAACCTTTGTCCCTTACAACTGATTGTGAGAATGATTTCATGCGAACACTGTTTAATTAAATATAAATGTGTCATGCTCCAAAGTTGTGCAACAATGTTGTTGTTGTTGTTGTTGTTATTATTAGTCTATTCATTGCCCATAAACAGGAATTATTTTACAACAATTTAAAATATTTTTGAAATACTTTAATATTTTAATTTTACATTTTAAATGTAATATTTTTATATTTTTCAGATCTTTTAAAGACCAAATGTTTACCACTTGAACAATAAAAAAGGTTGATTTATTGATAATAAAAGTAATTCTTACTTGATAACTGATGTAATCTTTTCCACGTGATAAACCCTTTGGGAAAGAATAAAAATGCTTTCAACATTAGTTCTTAAATCTTTATTAATAATAGTGATGCAGTTGTTATAAGAATAATGATGATAAACATTAAAGTGTACATTTCCTCTGAATGAAGATGTGTTGTAATTCCTCACTGTCACCACTGAGGGGCAGCGACTCACTACATTTCCACTATCCAAAGCGACTTACAATCATTTTAAAAACATAAAGATTAAAACTCCGACCAACAAGAAAAGTGCGGATATATTCACTTCAAGCAAGCCATATCATTGTAAGTGCTGGTGACTAAGTTACAAGCCTACATTTAAGTGCTTTAAAAAAAAAAAAAATCTACAGTCTGCTGATCATTCAGCCTGTACTGTATGATGCAATGTGCAGCTGGAAGTTTATGTTTTGCAGTTCATTTTTTATAAAAGAAAATTAAATTAATGAAATCTACTCGAAAAATAATAAAAAATCTCTTTTGTAAGTTTTATGTGACATTGGAGGCAATGCCAATCCCTTTGCAATATCACACTGGGGTGTCCAAACCCAGGGCCTTTCTGAATACCCTCTGAGCATCCTCAGCGAGCATGTTGAGGATAGTAGTGAGAGCTCTGTAGGTGGAGGCATAAGAGATGGCTGCTGCTGCTGCTAATCCAAAAACTGGAATAAATCTGGACACTTCCTCTGCTGTTATTAAAGCAACGTGAAACACAGGCACAATCAGGATGTTACGGATAACCTCACCGCTTATTTCTTTCAAAGCCAGAGT